TATATGTATGTGTGTGTGTGTTTGTGTGTGTGTACGTAAAAAGGGCAAGCCCCTAATGGATACAAGAGAGAACGAGAGCAAGACGTCAGAAAGTGAAAAGTGCATCGGACAGAAAAGACAAGGCCGATGCTGCTACTCGCACGATGGCGGGTGACTAGCGCCAGGCTACTCGCCCGATGTCGGGTGACTAGCGCCAGGTTACTCGCCCGATGTCGGATGACTAGCGCCAGATGACTAGCGCCAGGATACTCGCCCGATGTCAGGTGACTAGCGCCAGGATACTCGCCCGATGTCGGGTGACTAGCGCCAGGGTACTCGCCCGATGTCGGGTGACTAGCGTCAGAAATGCAGCGCCGTGATGCTATTAAAGATTGTCTAACTACTACCAAGATGTTTCAAGTGCCTAGCATCTGCGTTTGTCGCGGTCGCGATTTTTGGCATTTTTTGGTTCGCGAAACCTGGCCGCGATTTGTGCATTTCCAACAAAAAAGGCTACTCCACAATATAATCTTAAAGTTCCATAACATCCTTTAAGGTGTCCACATGAAGATATAGTTATTTCCATGCCAAGAATGTAGGTACATTATTACTATATTGCTGCTTGTCTTTTATTTTTCCCTCTTTGTTGTGTTTTAATTTGTTGGTGTGTTATTTTTTTAATATTGTTCTGATGTGTTGTTTTTCTATTGGGTTTTTTTTTTTTTATCATATAGCGTATAGTCATTTATTTTGAATTTGTTCTTACATTCTAAAAAAAATATAAATGTGTTACTTTAGAGCGTGTCTCCACCAAAACCGAATACGGACACAGGCAGGCCCCTAATTGTGTGTGATTCCCAATAATTTACATGTGATATTATGTACTTTTTCTTGAATTACACACGTTTAGGATTAAAACAGACAATATTTGGACAGGTGGACACACGCCATTATTTGTTAACTTTTGTGGGTGTATGTGCTGTTCTAATTTTGATTTCATTCTGTTTTGAAACCTTCATTTTTCACGTTTTTACACTCTATGAGGCTGCAAATGATATTCTGGGTGCTTAAAACAGAATATAACAATATATCGAAATTTCGGGCGCTTTAGATTAAGTTACCTCTTTTGAAAGCTTGAAAATTAATGACAACTTTTATGGCAACTTTTGCCTTTTTTACTCAACGTTTGGACGAAAAAATGGCAACGGACGCAGATGCTAGAATTGGCCTATCTCGCGTCTGAACGAGACTTGGGCGCTAGATCTACCTCGTCTTCTTAGCGCGTGACGGCCCGTGATACGAGTGTAAACACACGTTCCAGCGCTGAGTTTAAAGCGATAAATTTTGTCATCGGGCAGAGAGAGAAAGAGAGAGAGGAGGAGGGGGGAGAGAGAAAGAGAGAGAAGAGAAAGAGAGAGAGAGAGAGAGAGAGAGAGAGAGTGAAAAAAGAGAGAGAAAGAGAGAAAGAGAGAGA